TACTCTTACTCCTATTCTTACTCCTTATTCTTACTCTTATTCTTACTCTTACTTTTACTACTGCTGCTGCTACCGCTACTGCTGCTACTGCTGCAACTGCTGCGGCCGCTACTGCTGTTGTTGGTGCTGCTTCTGCTGATACGGTATACCTATTACCAATTATCAGTCTTGCCGTTTCTACTGCTGCGAGATCTCGTCGAGTGTAAAAAAAAACTACCGCAAATAAGTGACCACGACATTATGCAACGGCGCACTGTGCACTATGCACTATGCACTATGCACTATGCACTATGCACTGTACACTGTGCACTATGCACTATGCACTATGCACTATGCACTGCGCACTATGCACTATGCACTATGCACTATGCACTATGCACTGTACACTGTGCTATGTGCGACGTGTTGTACTATGTGTGTAACGACTACGGGAATGCCTGCACACGAAAAACATTCATGCAAATACTCACGCTAGCATCGGCCGTAGAATTCCGCGTGATATTCATCAACACAATGCTCTCCGCTGCAGGCTGAACTTCGCTACTCGCTCCTAGTTCTTTATCCACTGACATGCTTGTATATCTGTTCCGCCGACGGTTGCTCCGTGGGCCAACTTCAGTACGGGCGGGTGTTCGTCGCACTGCCGAGAAATCAACGCGTCAACGTCGTCGACGGCATGTTGACGCGCGACACTAGCAATATTGTCACGAGAGTGTCGCGTCTCCATACGGAGTATTAACGAGCTGGTAGTGTCGCGTTGTCGCTCGAATCTCGCAGGGAGAAGGTGCACGTATTAGATGATAGCGTATTAGATATTAGATTCGATTATTAGATACCGTATTAGATATTAGATTTGATTATTAGATAACGTATTAGATATTAGATTTGATTATTAGAAAGCGCATTATATATTAGATTCGATTATTAGATAACGTATTAGATATTAGATTCGATTATTAGATAACGTATTAGATGGTAGCGCATTAGATATTAGATTCGATTATTAGATAGCGTGTTAGATATTAGATTCGATTATTAGATAACGTATTAGATGATAGCGCATTAGATATTAGATTAGATTATTAGATACCGTATTAGATATTAGATTTGATTATTAGATAGCGTATTAGATATTAGATTCGATTATTAGATAACGTATTAGATGATAGCGCATTAGATATTAGATTCGATTATTAGATAGCGTGTTAGATATTAGATTCAAGTGTTAGATAACGTATTAGATGATAGCGCATTAGATATTAGATTCGAATATTAGATAGCGTGTTAGATATTAGATTCGATTATTAGATAACGTATTAGATGATAGCGCATTAGATATTAGATTCGATTATTAGATAACGTATTAGATATTAGATTAGATTATTAGATAACGTATTAGATGATACCGTATTAGATATTAGATTCGATTATTAGATAGCGTGTTAGATATTAGATTCAATTGTTAGATAACGTATTAGATGATAGCGCATTAGATATTAGATTCGAATATTAGATAGCGTGTTAGATATTAGATTTGATTATTAGAAAGCGCATTATATATTAGATTCGATTATTAGATAACGTATTAGATGATAGCGCATTAGATATATTAGATTAGATTATTAGATACCGTATTAGATATTAGATTTGATTATTAGATAGCGTATTAGATATTAGATTCAATTATTAGATAACGTATTAGATGATAGCGCATTAGATATTAGATTCGAGTATTAGATAGCGTATTAGATATTAGATTCGATTATTAGATAACGTACGTATTAGATGATAGCGCATTAGATATTAGATTCGAATATTAGATAGCGTATTAGATATTAGATTCGATTATTAGATAGCGTATTAGATATTAGATTCGATTATTAGATAGCGCGTTAGATATTAGATTAGATGATGCGCGTATTAGATGAAGTAACACGCAGCGAATACAAGGCGTAGAATGGAATGGGCGTGATCGCATTTACCGTGAAGCGATATAATAAGCGGACGGATTGAATGGCTCCTATAAACGCGCACAACCCGCACTAACAAACGAGGAGGAAGTCGAAGGTCGTGAACGTTCTAAAGGTCCAGAAGTCCAGAATATGTATTTATGATTATTTTTATATATGTGTGGTTTTAATGGCTATGAGTTTCGTTTGTTATAGCCAGGCGACGACGTGTTTAAAGTTGAGTTTGAATCTGGTGATGCACATTAATTCCATAATGTCTGTATTGTTTGTGTATACAGTATGATATCTAAGCGTTTTGTAGTATTATTATTAGCTGTACTGCGTATATCCGGTATTATTTATATACTCGTTGCGCTCATGTCCGCTCGTTATTTCTCAAGATAATCACAAAGTACCTACGACGAACCTAATCATACTCAACCGCCACCAAGCCAGAAGATTTCAACCGTACGTAGCGACAACTACAACGGTAGCACGCTCGATTCACGAGAACGACAAAAAAAGAAAAACACCGGCAACAGAGACTATTTTAGGTCGTAAAACGAAAGCCCTATTCTGGATCGATTCAATACGCCTACATTAGGTCGCTTTAATTATTTTACTCCGGAGACGTGATCACGCAACTGCGTATACCGTAGCGACGCACGCACACACGCACGCACGCGCACGCACGCAGCATGCACGCACCAACACGCGATCCCGCAACCGCTCCCATTAATTTTTAATATCGATTAGCCGCTCCGCCCCCTGTTGATTCCGGGCCGTCTTTCGTCTATTGACCGCTCGCCTAATTATCGAATATCGATATTATTCGATTATCGAATATCGATTACTCCCCCTTGTTAATTCGATTACGCACCCCTCCCTACCTGCGCCCCATACTAATTCCGAGCCGAGTATCTTCCGTCTGTCGAGCACCCGACTTCGCGAGCCAGAGATACTGAGATATAAAGAAACGGAGACACATTGCGTGCGAGATTCAGAGATACAGAGACACTGCGTGCGAGACACAGAGATACTGAGATACAGAGATGGGGAGATACGGAGACACTTTCCGTGCGAGAGACAGAGATACTGAGATACAGAGATACTGAGATACAGAGATACGGAGACACTTTGCGTGCGAGAGACAGCGATACTGAGATACAAAGATACTTTTCGTGCGAGATACAGAGAATACTGAGACACATTGCGTGCGAGAGAGCGTCGGGGTACTTACATGACGTAGCCTTGCGTAGAAGTTGCAACGGAGATCTCGTATCGAGGCTTCGTTGTCTTCGCGGACGTGATACGTTCACAGACTAGCACATCTGCACGCACGATGCGGACGATAGCGGTCCATAGTACGTTCTACGATGCTGATGACTGATGCTGATTCGGATGCTGATGACTGATGACTGATGCTGATGCTGTTACTGATGCTGATGCTGATGCTGATGCTGATACTGATGACTGATGCTGATGATGTTACTGATGCTGATGCTGATGCTGATGCTGATACTGATGACTGATGCTGATGATGTTACTGATGCTGATGCTGATGCTGATGCTGATGCTGATACTGATACTGATGCTGACGCGGATGCTGCGTGTGTCGGTGAACACCGTGGTAAGCTAAGAAGCGCGGTAGAATGACAGGCGGTCGCGGTAGAGCGCCGCAGGGAGCCGACACTTAATCGTACTTGTGATGCGATCACGCGCTCCTCCTGCCGGAGCAGCAGCAGCAGAGCGATGCAGCGACACCGCTTTTCACGCTAACGGCCGACGTATTCCCGTAGCGATGCATGCTGTCCCGTGATTTCCGAGTCTCTCGCTACGACTAGGCTCCGACACAGGTCTGGGATTCTGATCACCAGCAGATGTAGTGCGGCGCGGTTCAGCCGTGTCAGTCGCGTGCGGATCGAGAACAGCAATGATCTGCGGTTTCGCCTTTTCAGCGAGTTCTCTTCCCGCTTCGCACACACCGACGCGCAGACAGCGCTCGTCCAGTGGATCGGTGAGCAGCAGTGCGCATGCGCAACGCGCACGCAGAGAATCCGCCATCGGGCTTCGAGCGGGCGTAGAGCGCGCGAAACAAAACACCGTACGTCAACGGAATGTCGGCGTGGCTAAATCAGGCTGATTGCCGCAAACTTCGTGCGCACAACTATGCAAATATTAACAAGACGAAATACACTTTCCGCGTTGCGCGCGCGCGCTTTGCTATAGCCGCTGTTGCTGAGAAACGCCGGGGTTTTCACTTAGAGAAGGAAGGAATAAAAATTCTCGCCGCTTGTCGTTGAAATGACGCAGAATGCAATGAATTTATTATGATATATAAGCAGTCTGGCTTTCACGGCTTTCAGATCTACGAATTGATCGTTATCGGTCTTATTCCCATGAAGGTGTGTCGTGTGTAAGGCGCATTCGCTGTGGACAGTCGGGCTAGTCTGTCCTACCCCACCTGTCTCCCTCTCGCTCTCGCTCAATTTCTCTCCCTCGTTACCTCTCACTCCCTCTCGCTTCTCCCCATTCTCTTTCTCTCGCTCTCTTATTCTACGTGTCTCGTTCTCTCTCACTCTTCCCCTCTCTCTCAGCTCTCTCGCCGTTTTTCTGCATTCATTTCTTTCTCTCACGCACTCATATTTTACATACTCATACACACCTTTTTCTTGCTCGCTATACCTCGCTCTCCCGCTTCGCTTCTCTCTGGCTATTTTCTCTTTTCTCTCTCGCTCTCTCATTTCTCCTTTCTCTGCGAGAACGCGCACGTCTGTATTTGCGTGCGTGCATATATTGTATCCAGCAAGCGGTGGTAACGAGACGTGACGCTAGGCACGTCACACCTAGAGCATCTACATGTATAGGAGTGGTTGACGCGGCGCGCAAACGACAATGGACGGGCGCGTCCTCCCGCATCCGCCTTGCGCTAGGGATAGGACGCACCTGCGAACGGGCGTCGCTTGCTGCTTTAGCCACGGTCTGGTTTTGACAGACTAGTTTCTGCTAGATCCGGTTTCAAGCCGATATTATATAAGCAGCACAAGCAAAAATAGACAAGATAGAAGATTTAGACTGTGACTATGTAGTCGGTCGGAGAGAGATCGAGACGAGGCGCCGGAGCCTATAGTCATGGTTGCCTATAGGCTGTGGTATTGTATATATTTTGTATGTGTTGAGTAAGTAATAAAGTCCAAGTGAAACAACTAATCTGCGACTACGGCTCTACCTCTGCTATCTACGCTGCTGGTGCTAACCTCGCTACCATTTGCTGACGAAACAACGCTGCTACCTTCTACGCTGCTATCAACGAGAACCCAAAGTCTTCAACCGTTCGCAGTACAACAATTCTCCTCTCTCTGCGAGAACGCGCACGTCTGTATTTGCGTGCGTGCATATGTGCGTGCACGAGTGCGCGTATATAAGATCATGCGTGCATGCGTACAGGCACCTATCGATCTCAATAATATGGCTAAGAGACTCTTCAGTTCAGCTTCTTGATTATTCTGCTTGCTTTTAAATTAAGTTTATTTACTTAATTATTCTGTTTGTTTTCAAATCAGTAAAGTTATTGAATATGCTTCTAAAAAATAACATAACTGACTATTTATGATGCAGATCTTTGAGGAGTCTAATAATTTATTAAGCGTATATATGTTTAACCTATCTCTCGGACCTAAAGTTGATGAGCGAGAATGTCAACGCGAGCCGATGAAAGTAACGCTTCGGGGTGAGTTCGGGGTTGGTGGGGGAAGGATGAGGTCGGGGTTGGTGGGGGATAGGATGAGGTCGGGGTTGGTGGGGGAGAGGATGAGGTCGGGGTGGGGTAGATTGGGTGAGAGGAGGGTGCTGACGAACGGGGATGTGAACGGGAGCTGATGACACGTGGGAGATGAGTGTATTTAAGCAGAGACGTCGATCATGCAAACGTGCATGAGCATCGATGCCTTCTTGATTACATATTGATTGTCTATAAGGCCTGAGAGGAGGTCCAGAAAGTGACGAGCAGGGTTTGCTCGCCAGTGAGTTTCTATAGAACTGCAGAGAGCGCGGTCATCGAATGGACTCAAACTGACTCGGTGAATCAACAGCCTATCCATTTTTCAGAGGATGACAGTTTGCGGTCTCGTTTCGCGGGCGAGGTGACAGGAACACGCGCGTATCGCCAGTACCCACGCACTCGATCTGTCCCGGCTCAGACAGCTTTTAATTCTCTCTCTCTCGTGTTCTCTCTCTCTCTCTCTCTCTTCTCTCTCTCTCTCTTTCTGTCTATACTTCTTTCTCTTTCTCTCTCTCTCTTCCTCTCTCTCTAACTCCGCTAAGATTACTTATGGAAAGTATAGCTAAACTTGTCTGTTCTCATTTCTGTCGTTTTGGAAGCGCGCCGCACAGGAATTAATTGCCTACGTGCTTCCCGTTTTAATTATTGGCATAGATTCTTAAGAAAGCATTCACCTTCTGCTTCTTTCTCGTAGTCATGCATTAAAAATGTTGCGCATTTTTTCTTTACAAGTGCTGCAATCACATGCACACTAGGGAACGATTTTCCACGAGAGTGTGTAATTTACCTGCCGCTTTCGTTCGTAGATTTACTCAAGAGATATTATAATGAGACATATGTATATATGTCTCATTATAATATCTCTTGAGTACGTATACACGTATACACGTATGTGTGCACGAACACACGTACGCAAGCACGCACGGACGGACGGACGGACACACGAACGCACGCACGCACGCACGCACGCACGCACGCACGCATGGACTACACGCACCCACCGCATCTGCTGAAGTCGTGCATACAGTGGCATGTAATTAGCAGCTTTGTATGCACTTCGGCAAATTTATACACAGTCTGCGAACTCGACGAGACACGAAAATTGTTAGTTCGTCTTTTGTCTGGTTTCAGACGCTGGGAGCTGTTATATAAGCGTTTTGCTTGTACTAGACGTTGCCAACCGCGTTCTCTTGCACGAATACTTGTTATTCCTACAAGAGTTGACACCTGCGAATGCTATCGCGTAGTCTGTACAGCGAAATGTCTATATTTATATCACCTTTTTTTTATATATTTTTACCGCGGCTACGGCCGCAAACAAAGAATGATGAGGGCAACTAATTAGTTATCCGCGTGAGACACATCATCATTACTGAAATGAACGCTGACGAAATGTTTTCTTTACTACTAATTGCTCCTGAAATGGCCACTGGGCACGACGTAATGTTGACGGAATGCTTACTTGTCGCACAGAAACGGTTACGTCTTCACGTTTAAGCGACGGGGCGACGATGATGAGACGTGCGCGGAAAGCGAAGCGAAATACGACCCATATAGCGCGTCATAATTAAGTGATTCGATGTCATCGTGAGCACGTACTGCCCTACAGCGTAGCGGAGCGACTAACGAAGAAAGTAAGGATGTGTGTGTGTGTGTGTGTGTGTGTGTGTGTGCGCGCGCGCGCGTGTGTGTGTGTGTGTGTGTGTGTGTGTGTGTGTGTGTGTGTGTGTGTGTGTGTGTGTGTGT